TATTATAAACCATGCCCATTTAGAATGGGCTACCCTTTATAATACAGCATTACTATTTAAGTAATCAACTACATGCATTATTTTAACATAATAATATCAGATAAAACATAATCAGGTTAATAATTCCTTAGTTTTGAGACGTCAGATACAGACTGGAAGACAAATTTTAGATACCAGTATCATGCAAAGCACTCTTCTGGCAAAAAATAATTGTAGTTTTGATGCAATAATAAAATTTCAATTGAATATATTAATATGGCCCTTGCAAACAGAATAATTAAACATACAGATAAATCCAGGTTTTCTAGAATATTTACTCACAAAGCAGCGGATAACAACAGAGGTGAAGTAGACAAATTAACAGTCTTTTTTATTTTAAAATATCAGCTAAGGGAATATACTTATGGAGAAGATTTAGGCCTTTTTCAACTTCTTGGTAATTCATTTTTTGAAAGTTCCTAGCTGTGTTTTTAAGAAACTCTTAAGAAGAATATAATACAATAATAATGGGTTGCTAAAGCAGTGATATAAATGACCACTCTTATTTTATTGCCTTTAACATACCAGTGACCCATATTTTGTTTCAGGCATAGAGGCAAGTTGAAATTGACTTCTTTACCCTTCAACTGGTTCCAAATTTCTCTATCTGAAATGTTTGGAACCTTTGTGAGACTATAGCCTTTTCCTGACACATACAGAAGAAAAGACAATACTTCTTGTATCACTTATCTGAGATAAAGGGGACTTAAGAAAAAATCCCACAGAAAACTTATTTGACAAAAATAAAGTTTAGAAACATTTTTATCCATTTAAAATTAATTTCACTTGAGATATCATTTAAAAATGAATATAAAGCTTAGGAAGATACACTATCCACCTATCCCCATGGAATTGGTCCCTATCACCAATAGATACAACTTAGAAGTTGTTTCCCAACCCAGTAGCCGTTAGAAATCAGACACAATTTCCTGGGTTCTGAGAATTAGGAGAAAAGTTTAGAAAAATGAATTTCAGGCTGGAGCACATAACCATTCCTATTTCCATTCAAAATACATAACTTTGTTCTCTCTGGTATCCTAAGTGCGTAGAACAGTGCCTAGCACGTGACAGGGATAAGTATCTATTTTTTTAATGAATGTTTCAAGTATTTTTTGCCCATATCCTTTCACCACCTCCCTCTGAAGAATTTCCTATTAAGGGATGTTCTTTTACTTCAAAAGAACTATAAAATGGAAAAAGTAGCAAAACGACAAGGCTTTTAAATGTTCAATGAAATGGTATGTATTTTTTTAGCTAGTATGGCTAGAACTTTGCAAGAATAAGGTCTTTTGTGGGAAGGGTAAGGGACTATCCCTTCAGCGTCAATAGACATTTATTAAGTGCCCCCTGGGGGCTGGGCACTGAGGTCGGTGCAGGGAGTGCATGCAGTGTGAGCATGACACCCAACTTCTCTATCTTCAGGTTCAGTTTCTACATCATTAAGGATATTCCTCGCAGATCTCAGTCTAGCTAGATTTCAGATGTTTTCTGCCCTCCCAGTCTAGCTAGATTTCAGATGTTTTCTGCCCTCCCCGCCCCGTTTTTTTTCTTTGCCCACTGTTTTTTATATTGAGGTATAATCGGATACCAATAAATTGTACATTTTTAAAATGTACGTATGACAAAATTTACATAGGCATACAATCATGACACAATCATCGCAATCAAGACAACAAACATCCATAACCCCTAAAAGTTTTCTCATGGCCTTTGCAATCCAGCTTTCCCTCCTCCCTACCCAATCCCCCTCCCACAGGCAACAACCAGTCTGCTGTTATTACAGATTAGTTTGTATTTTCTAGAGTTTCATATAAATGGAATCATACAGCATGTCTGGCTTCTTTCATACAGCAAAATTATTCTGAGATTCATCCATGCTGTTGCATGTATCAATTGTTTATTTTTTAGAAAATTACAGAGTAGTATTCCCTGTATGGATACAGAAAAATTTGTTTATCTATTCACCTGTTGATGAATATTTGGGCTGTTTCCAGTTTGAGGCTATTAAAAAAAAGCTGCTGCCTCTTTGGAAAATAGTTCGGCAGTTCCTCAAAAGGTTAAACACAAAGTTACCATATGACTTAGCAATTCCACTCCCAGGTACACACCCAAGAGAAATGAAAAGATACATCTGCACAAAACAAGTGTTCAGAGCAGCATGATTCATAATAAGCAAAAATTGGAAACAACTCAAATGTCCATCAACTGACGAGTTGATAAATAAAATGTGGCACATCCATACAATGAATATCATTCAGCAATAAAAAAGAAATGGACTTATAAGAACTCAAGAAAAGGTTTAAACACAGAAGAAAACATTCTTTGATGGTTACGAGGGTGGGGAGAGAGGGAGGGACGGGTGTTTACCAACTAGAAAGTAGACAAGAATTATCTTAGGTGAAGAGAAGGACAGCACACACTACAGGGGAAGTCAGCACAACTGGACTAAACCAAAGCTAAGAAGTTTCCTGAATACAACCAAACACTTTGAGGGACAGAATAGCAGGGGCGAGGATCTGGGGGCCATGGTTTCAGGGGACATCTAAGTCAACTGGCCTAACAAAGTTTTTTAAGAAAATGTTCTGTATCCCACTTTGGTAAGTGGCGTCTAGGGTCTTAAAGGCTAGTGAGTGGCCATCTTAGATGCATCAATTGGTCCCAGTGCACCCGGAGTAAAGGAGAATAAAGAACACCATGGACACAAGGAAAGTATTAGCCCAAGACACAGAAAGGGCCACATAAACCAGAGACTTCATCAGCCGGAGACCAGAAGAACTAGATGGTGCCTGGCTACCCCAATGACCGCCCTGACAGGGAACACAACAGAGTCCCTGACCAAGCAGGAGAAAAGTGGGGTGCAGAACTCAAATTCTAGTAAAAAGACCAGACTTAATGGTTTGATTGAGACTGGAGGGACCCTGCAAGACATGGCCCCCGGATTCTCTGTTAGCCCAAAACTAAAACCATTCCCGAGGCCAACTCTTCAGACAAAGATAAGACTGAACTATGGGGCATAAAATAATACTCATGAAGAGTGTGCTTCTTAGCTCCAGTAGATACACGAGACTAAATGGGCAGCTCCCATCCAGAGGCAAGATGAGAAGGCAGAGAGGATCAGGAGATGGTTGAATGGACACAGGAAATCCAGGGTGGAAAGGAAGAGTGTGCTGTCACAGTATAGGGAGAGCAACTAGGGTCACAAAACAACGTATGTATAAATTTTTGCAGGAGAGACTAACTTGAATTGTAAACTTTCACTTAAAGCACAATTTAAAAAAAAGAAATGGACTGATATATGCTGCAACACAGATGAACCTTAAAAACATTATGCTAAATGAAAGAAGCCAGACACAAAATGTCTATAATAGGCAAACTCATAGAGACAGAAAGTTGATTAGTGGTTGCTAGGAGTTTAGGGGAAACCTGGTGGGGTAGTGCTTAAGAGCTACAGCTGCTAACCAAAAGATAACGCAGTTCGAATCCACCAGGCGCTCCTTGTAAACCGTATGGGGCAGTTCTACCCTGTCCTATGGGATCACTGTGAGTCTGAATTGACTTGACAGCAATGGTTTTTTTTTAGGGGTTTAGGGGCGGATGGGGAATGACTATTAATGGGTACAGAGATTCTTTTTGGGGTGATGAAAAATGTACTAAAATTAGATAGTGGTAATGATTGTGCAACTCTGTGAATATACTAAAACTACTGAATTATACGCTTCAAAGGGTGAATTTTATGATGGGAGAATTACATCTCAGTAAAGATATTTTTGAACATGCCAACAAAGCTACTATTGAATGATACTAATATTGTTGAATATTGACTATACTGTGGACTGCCAGAGGAATGGACAAATCAGTCTTAGAAGAAATACAACCAGAATGCTCCTCACAAGTGAGGCTGGCAAGACTTCCTCTCGCTTACCTTGGACGCGTTATCAGTGAAGAACAATCCCTACAAAACGGCATCATGTTTAGTAAAGCAGAGGGTCAGCAAAAGTAGGGGAAACCCTCAAAGAGATGGACTGACAGAACAGCCGAAACAATGGCCTCAAGCATACCAACAATCATGGAGATGGCACAGGACTGGGCAATATTTCGTTGTTATACATAAGGTCACCATGAGTCGGTGGCAGCCTGAGGGCAACTGACAATATCAACAATAGATACAGTTCTCACCATGTTCTAAGTGCCTTATATATTAAATTATTAAACACTGACAACAACACTAGAAGTACTTAAATATTCTTATTTTTCAAAGAGGTAACTGAGACACAGAGGTTAGGCAATTGCCCCAAATCACACATCTATCAAAAGGTGCAGCCGGGATGCCAACCCAAGGAATCTGACTCTGGAGTCCATCCTACAGAACACGATGCCACCCAGGACTGCCTTTCTAATAACTTTTTAATGTGTGTCCCCACTGGAATGTAAGCTGCATGCGGGGACTGCTTTTGAAAACTACCGTTACCCTCGCGCAAGGAACACTGCCTGCCACCTGGCACCTCAATAAAGGCTGAAATTATAACTGGAAAAAGAAATTGTTGGGCTCAGCGACAAAGCATACTTCGATGGCTCTTTCTGGACTGTCAAGAGCGGATTAACGTGTAAAGGGAGGCAGGGCTGTTTGGAGCAATGTTTGAGGCGCTTTTGAAGTGCGATATGAGACAATGACCGGCAGAAGGAGGCAAAATTAGAAGTGAACGACTGTTCTGAGCACAAGTATTTTTCATTGGCTGAACAGCCTTAAAGTTTTCAGGGGTAAGACGAGCTAAGGCAGGAGTTCCTGGGGAAGTAATACATACGACAGTCAGCCACGCCATCCTGGAAGCGAAGTCTAAAAGAGGCGGTCCGCCGGGCACGCTCTTTACACCCGCCTCTCCGACGCGCCAGCTGCGGCAAGAGCGCGCACTGGGGTTGGCTCTCGCCGCTCCACCCGTCCCAGCGACCCCTCCCCGTCGTGGCCCGCGCGGGGTGACCCGGAAGCTGTTGTGAGGTGCCACCGCGCAGCCCTGTTCTCTTTTCCGATCGGCGTGGCTCGTGACTGGAGCGTCCGCGGCGTCCGGGCCTTCGCCATGAGCGTCCCGGCCTTCATCGATATCAGTGAGGAAGATCAGGTGTGCTCCCGGGCCGGGCGCGCCGCCAGGATCGGGTGGGGATGTTTCAGGGTGCTTGAGGGTCCGCCGCTGAGCTTGGGCAGGGCGGACGCGACCCTGTGGAGCGGATCCCGGGCTGAGACCTGCAGCTCCTTCCCCGCCACGCGAGCGTGGGAAGCCACGGGGCAGGGGCCGGTGTTCCTGGCCTGGAGTCGTACGATCCTGTTGGCCGGCGAGGCCGGAGCCTCTACGACCAGCTTCATGGTCGGCTTCGAATTTTCCCGGCCTGGAGTCACTTCTGACGAATTAGTGCTTTTTGATTAGATAGCGTTGGGTTTGCTTCCGTCCCCGTAATGCAGCCACATCCGGAGTGGGAAGTGACGAATCTTTAGATGGTGTAAGCAGTCTACAGAAAAGTAGTTTTGTAGTAGAGATGAAAATAGCTTTACTGTTTCTCGATCACAAAGCAAAGGTGACTCGTAGATCCGTATTTTATATTACTACTTGTGTAAGGGTGAGAGTTGTTCAGTAACCCGGAAACATAATGACAGTTCCACTCTCTTATTCTGTGAGGTATACACCTGGTGGCCTTTTCTAAAAATCCCATGGACCATCCTGTTTGGGGTTTGCTCTTTGGTATGAAGGATTCATGCTTCTCATTTTCTCCATAACAAAAATTTAATTTTAGTTGGTAGGAGTTAAACATAAAGTGATATTTTTTAAGTTAATTATGTAGAACTGAAAGTTATATTTTGTGAAGTCATAAGCGTTGTCATTTTGGGTTTTTTCCTGCTAATTCACTAACTTGGAAATTTTGGTTCCATACAGGAAAACATCTTAGTCTAAGGTGACTTATAGAATTGCAAGTGTGATTTCCGCTCCCAATCCCTCACCTGCCCGCCCCCCGTAGTAGAATTGCAAAAGCTCAGTCCTGAAGAGCAAAATAAGAAGGGGAAATGAAAAGGGGAGGAGGTCTAGAATGGGTAGAGAGTTGAGCGTGAATAGAAAGGAAGATGTAGAAGACAAGAAAATAAGTATATCTAATTAGGAATGGAAGCGTATATATTGCTTAAAATTGGCTTCAGCCTGCTAATTTAATTTTTTTTTAACATACAAAAGGATTTGTAGATACAGAAAGTTCTTGTCATTGATCATAGTAGTTTTAAAGTGTTATTTCTCAGACAGGTTGTGACACTGTTTTTGTAATACATCAGTTTCACGCTAGCAGAATGTAGCAGAGTTGTTCCTTTCAGGTAAATATGTGATTGCTTCAGGAGTTTGATCAAATTCTCTCTTTGATTAGAGTTAAGAATCCTTGTTTGTTTTCCTTTAATTTTACCACTCCAAGCACTTGGGGCTAGTGAAGATGACAGATTAAAAACAGTAAACTGTTGATTGAATGAGGTGGCTGGGTGGTGCAAGCTGTTTGGAATTGGCTGCTAACCTGAAGGTTGGTGATTAGAACTCACCCATCAACTCCTGACAAAGTCCTGACAAACTACTTTCTTAAAGATTACAGCCAAGAAAGAAAATGCTGTGGATTAGTTCTGCTCTGTAACAGGTGGGGTCACCATGAGTTGGGAGCAAACTCGGTGGCAGCTAACAACAACAGTTGATTGAATAGTTCTTAGAAACAGTTCACCTTGTATCGACCTTTTTTCTTGTTTGGACCATATTATATGTTTTCCTCACAGAGAAGCATACTTTCCAGTGGTATTTTTGTGCTCTCTGATATGGTGGCAGTTGTATTTGAAATCTTGTTTATAATGCTAAATTGTAAATGAAATTACTGTATTCTTATGTGAAAGGATAGCACTATCAGATCTACAGGCTTCTGAAGTAGCCAAACATTTGTGGGTGTAAAAGTTTTGATGGCCTTAAGAATTTGGTTCGGTATAGAAAATGTGATACCTGTGCATTTACTAATGGTATTTTTTCAGCCGTTTGTGTCAGTTCTTCATTTTATTATCCTTTAAAAGCTGTTGCATTCATGTTTGGTTGCCATAAATACCAAGCCCTATGAGTTGGAATTGACTCAATGGCACCTAACAACAGCAAGAAAAAAGAACATTTATTAAATATCATATAGAGCAATACTGTAGAAGTTTAATACTACTTCTTTGCTGTCCAGATTTCTTTGGAACAGTAGTTTTTTACTCTACCCAACACTTTTTAGGGCTTTTTTCCTTTTTAGAGTCTTTCTGTTTCCCAACACTTTTTAAAGGCTGTGACACTCCATAAAAAGTAGTATTAGGTTGAGGGGATAGGAAATTGTGTGAGGGAGATTCTGGCATGCTGCCAACTTCACCTCCAGTTGGGGGATCCCTGCTCTAGACCAATACTTTTTTTTCTAATGGCAGCATGTTGCATTGAACTCGTAACAAGAGTAGCAGAATTAATGTCCAGATGATTGAATGCAGTACTGTAGTTGTATTTTTATATGTGCTTTCTGACCCAGGTATGCACTTTGCATTTTAAAAGATTAATTACATAGTAGATCCAATTTGATAAAAATATTCAAGGCAGCTTTTACAGACATAGCATTTTTATCTCCCAAAATGCTTCTCTCAGGTCAGTGCCCAAATAATTAATGAGTTTTTATTCTCTTGTCAAGATAATATCTGTAAATTTTTCTACTAGCTGTGCTAATATATATATTTGAGAGCAATAAAATTTCATTTTCCTTTTTTTTTTAATTGACTTTTACAGATCACCTGTGTAGTGGTTAAAGAGTTTGGCTGCTAACCAAAAGGTCAGCAGTTCAGAACTGCCAGGTGCTCCTTGGAAACCCTATGGGGCAGCTCTACTCTGTCCTATAGGGTGATGATGAGTCGGAATCGACTCAACAGCAATGGGTTTGGTTTTTGGTTTTTAACTCATGTAGTAAACCTTTGGGTTATTTTGGAAAGACAGGGTTCAGGTGATATGAGAGAAATTCTGAAGGTGATCCACATGGGCCATGGTGTGTCTGTGGAGCCACTGAGCCTTGTGAAAGAAAATACCATATTCCTCTGGTGGGCTTGTCATAAGTTTTAGGTGGGGTGAGGGGAGCACTTCAATATAACTTTTAAGTAATTGTTAAATATAGTATTTACTTTTTATTTTTTCGGAAATGGGACAGTATGCTTTGAGATCTTTCGTTGTTATCATTTATAGTCAGTTTTATAGATTGCAACGTATTTGATCCTACAGGCTGCTGAGCTTCGAGCTTATCTGAAATCGAAAGGAGCTGAAATTTCAGAAGAAAACTCAGAAGGTGGACTTCATGTAGATTTAGCTCAGATTATTGAAGCCTGTGATGTGTGTCTGAAGGAAGATGATAAAGGTTTGTTTTTAATTTTTGACAGCACTTCTTATTAAGTATATAAAGTATCTATTTTCATTTTCTTGTGAACTGTATTTGTATGTTTCGTGTTTCAGACTTTAGTTCTTTTAAGCACTATTGTCTTATCTTTGCACATACCTTTGGTTTATTCCAATCTGTTGTACCTATTAAGTAATGATATTTTGAGAAAACATCTTTTTTAGGTCAGCTATTTTTTAAGTGTTATACCACTTAATGCTGATAATTCCAGAATGAACTGAAGGAAAAAAGCTCTTCTTTAATTTTCATAAGGTTTAGATTAATATCAAGTGGAATCTAATTTCAAGTAATCTAAAAGCCATTTAATTATTTGGCTGATTCCTTGTTTATTGAGATAAAATGGGAAATTTAAAAAATTGGGAGTCCTAAAACCTGTAGTCAAGGTTTGACATTAAACTTGGTATATAAGTAGTGATATCTTACAATACTCAGAAATTAGTGGCCCAACCAGAAAGTTGACAGCTTTCATTTCTAAATTATTTTCTATATGTAGGTACAAAATGTTCCTCAGTTGGTAATGAACCCTAGCCTAAGATCTAACCAATAACTTCTAAATGATGGGAATACATCATGCTGGCACAAATTTAAACTGTTTATATGGTGAGACATGTCAGTCAGCCTTCTGTTTTACTAGTTAGGTATTCTAATGGAGCCAAATCTTAGGTAACAATTTTCTTTCTCTTTAGTAAAATGTACAAGTTGCTTTCTGAATGTGAAGTATTGAACAGAGCTCGTTTAGTTTGAATTCATAAAATATATTTTTGCTGCCTTCTGCTGAAGGAAAGGTATCTGTCCTCTTACAGTTGTCAGATTACATCTTTTTAAAGTGTCTTGGGGCACTATTTAATGGTTTGGTATATTAAAAAACTTGAAATACATATTTAACCAGAAACATGGGATATTATAGTATCACTGTTGACTGTATTATTGATGCATGTACAGATGTTGAAAGTGTGATGAACAGTGTGGTATCCCTCCTCTTGATCCTGGAACCAGACAAGCAAGAAGCTCTGATTGAAAGCCTGTGTGAGAAGCTAGTCAAATTTCGGGAAGGTGAACGCCCATCTCTGAGGCTGCAGTTGTAAGTTAAGAACTAAAAGAGACTGAGTTTTTCAAGGGTCTGTTAGAGCCCTGGTGGCACACTGGTACACTGGTTAAGAGGTTGGCTGCTAACCCAAAGGTTGGCAGTTCGAATTCACCAGCTGTTCCTTGGAAACCCTACGGGGCAGTTCTACTGTGCCCTGTAGGGTCGCTGTGAGTTGGAATCGACTCGATGGCAATGGGTTTGGGTTTTTTTTTTTTTTTTGGTTATTTTCATATCACTCTCATGTAATGGAAGGAGCCCTGGTGGCACAGTGATTAAAGCGCTCGGATGCCAACCAAAAAGGTGGATGATGTGAACCCACCAGCCGCTCTGCAGGAGAAAGATGTGACAGTCTGCTTCTGTAAAGGTTTACAGCTTTGGAAATCCTATGGGGCAGTTCTACTCTGCCTTATAGGGTTGTTAGGAGTCGGAATTGACTCGATGGCAGTAGGTTTGGTTTGGTTTTTAATGGTAAGAGCAGTAATTTGGGAACTTGACTGTCAGCTGTGGCTTTTATTAGTTGTGTGACCTTGGGCAAGTCATTTAACCTCTCTGTGCCCTCGTGGTAATATGAACTTGTTAATAGTACCTGCTTGAGGTTTGTTGTGAAGGTTAAATGATTTAGTGGGTCTGAAGTGCAGAGAATGGTGCTTGGCATGTAGGAGGTGCTGAATAAATGCTAGTTGTTGTTGTTAACACCACTACTATTACTCCGCAAGCTTGAGGGCTTAGTAGTAGACATGCGTAAGAGCAGATAACATCAGCTTAATCGCTCAGGTTGCTGATTTCAAACATAGTTTTGCTGTTTGTTAACCAGGCTGAGCAACCTTTTCCATGGGATGGATAAGAATACTCCTGTAAGATATACGGTGTATTGTAGCCTCATTAAAGTGGCAGCATCTTGTGGAGCCATCCAGTACATTCCAACTGAGCTGGATCAAGTGAGTTATTTTGTGGAATACTTGTTCTGCTTATAAGAAATAAGAAATGCAGCTTTATGTTATAGCTGAAATAAGTAGCAAATAGTTGTATTTTAAATGTTATCTTTTAAACTGAAAACATACTCATCTGTGACTAAATTTTCTCCTTTTGACAATCCCACTGTAGGTTAGAAAATGGATTTCTGACTGGACCCTCACCACTGAGAAAAAGCACACCCTTTTAAGACTACTTTATGAGGCGCTTGTTGATTGTAAGAAAAGGTATTCAGAATTAATGAACTATCTTACCATTTAATAGGCAACGTAAGTCGGTAGGGATGTTTTTTAAAGAAAAGTAGGGTGAGTAATTGTGCTCTGCTTTATTCTCCACAAAATTGCTATAAATCTATTTCTATAATTTTCACTTACTAGGTTAAAGATATCTGTAAAGTTTAAAGTAGTTTTCCCATCTTTACACTTTTTTAAAAGCAAAACGTTTTGTTATAAAAATGGTACAACTCTTAATCCCAAAGTTGTTTATAACATTCGACGAAGTTATTTAATGGTGCTTTGATGTCTTCGTACAGGGTAGTGCTATTGCTTTTGTTTAATGGTGGTGAGGGTCTATCAATCAAAGTTAGCAGAAAGTGTCTTATATAAACAGTGCTCCTGAGATGAAGCTTTGCAGTAGACTGTACTAAATGAGTACCTTTTGGACTTCTGCAAGGTATTTTGAGTATCTAAGGCTTGTGTTCAGTGCAACAGACTTTCCATGCCCAAAATCTTTATTCTCCTGCATGTGATAGATTTGGCCTAGTTTTTGGAATTAGTGTTGTTGTCTAATGAAGGATAACCCTAGCTTTTTGACCTAATTTTTCTATTTCTTTTTTTCACAGAGTGGGTTATATACTTGAAGAAAAAGTCATCTGTTTTCAGTTTAGTTTAATTGCACAATTTTTATACTGCCTTTTAACTGCTTGAGTGTTTAAATTTTTGGAAGGATAAGAGAAATTAATATGTTTCTCTTAAGAATGAATGAAAATCTATGTTGCTAACTCAGGCTTCTCTTCTGAGCTTCAGATTTATATATCCAACAGCGTATTAACGATTTCCAATTAGATGTGCCCACAGATGCTTCATACTCAACGTGACCAAAATGGATTTATCATTTTTTTCCTCTAAATTACTGTGTTGTTTCTCTCAGTAAATGGCACCACTGTTGTCTAAGCAGACATCTTGATGACATCCTTGATTCCTTCATCTCCTTTATTTAATCACTTACTAAGTCTGGTTACTTCTGCCTTTATGTGGTTACGTCTCTACGGGCCGTCATCTTTGCTTCTCTGGGTTGTTGCAGCAGTCTCCTAAGAGACTGTGTATTTGCCCCTCTGCAAATACACAGTGGTTTTGTGAAACAAATTTCAGCATGTCATTCTTTAGGTTTTCATTTTCTTTAGGCTACAGTACAAGATTTTTCACATGGCATGTAAGGCCTTTCAGACATGGCCTCCTACCTACTGCTGTAATGTGGGCTTGGTGAATGTGATAATAATCACGTTACCGTTTTTTATGGCGTGGTGACAAACCACAGAAACTTTGCTTCGTCTGACTACCCCTCCCCTTTCCCTCCCACTCTGCTTTCTCGTCTTCCATCTCTCTCTCGCGCGCGCACGCAAACACACAGGGCATCCCATACCTCTCTTCTTGGTTATCGTGCGCTAGACATACTGAACCATGATGCTCTTTCCCCAGTCTGGACCAGGGACTGACACCTGTTTTTGTGTGGACCACGAGCTAAGAATGATTTTTACATTTTTAAATGGTTAGAGAAAAAAAATCAGAAGAATAATATTTCATGACCTGCAAACATAATATGGAATTAAAATTTTATTGGAACACAGCCATGCCTATTCATTAATGTATTGTCGAAGACTCCTTTCACCAAGAGTTGAATATTTTCAGTAGACCATATATGGCCTGCAAAGCCTAAAATATTTACTGTCTGGCTATATATACAAACTTGGCCTACCCTTGGTCTAGACTTAACTCAGTTTCTCTGTCTGAAAAACTCCTCCCATATTTAGATGAGGTGCCTCCCTTTTACAGTATCCTCTCTCTCTTTTATCGTAGCACTTAACACTCTGTTAAAATTGAGGTTGTGGCCTCTGTGAACCAAAGGAAGCTTGTCACCGTTGCATTCCCAAGAAGGCATTTGGCACGTAATAGGCACTGAATGAATGAATGCTACCCAACCCCTAGGAATGGTAGGAATATTATATAAGCACTTACTTTGGAAGAAAGTTTTAAAAATATCCCTTAACTTCTTAAAGTAAATGATACATCTCCAACTGATTTTACCCACAATGAATCCAGTTGTGTGTTTTTATGAAAAAAAAAGAGTTAGCAAAGCTTTCTACAACTGGGAAAAGAATTCATCAGTTTAAAGAAAGAAATGAAGGGTGAAGATAAACATTTTCTCCAAGAGTCCAAATTAAATGAAATGCATTAGATTATGTTGCCCTTTTCACTGCAGTTAAAATTGATCATCTGTGTAATTTTAAGGATAAATTAATTGGAAGAATATCTTTAATAGAGTTATTTAAATATTCGAGTGATGGCTCCATACTGTCAGCCATACTGTCCTGACAGTCTAGAATACACAAAACTTTTTTCCTCACCCAGGGCCCTTATATTTTTATTCCCTCTGCCTGGAAAGTCATTCAGCCCCCACCTTCCACCCTCAGGTCTTTTCATAGCCAATAATTTATATCCTGAAGGTCTCAGCTTATATGTCATCTCTTCAGAGAGACTCTCTCCCTTCTCATATAAGTAGCCCTTTTCTTGCCTCTGCCTTTATTACTTCATTACATCTTGTTTCCTTCACTGCAGTTAATTGTTCGTTGTTACTACTTTTTGCTTAGTTGTCTGTCTTGCCTACTAGAATGCAAGTCCCGTTTCTTTTCCCATAGACAAGGACCATGCCTTGCTTAGTCACCATTATATCAGCACAGTACCTGGCACCTAGTAAATACTTCTGCATGAGTCAGTGAAGATAAAAATATTTTGAAATTCCTAAAGTAGTATTTCTTTTTAGTGATGCTGCTTCAAAAGTCATGGTGGAATTGCTGGGAAGTTACACGGAGGATAATGCTTCTCAGGCTAGAGTTGATGCCCACAGGTAATGTTCAACACATTACTCTTAGCAAGACTGTTGCAGTTAATAGGTGAGCTACAGTATTTGATCGTAACTCTGAGCTCCTGTTTGCAACCACTAGTAATCCAGAGCACTTGATAATATGTGCTCCATGGTTATTCTGATGTGGATATTCAAGATTTGGTGAATCGAGGTTTATTGAAGAACTATAGCTAGCATGTGAAATAGCCACATGGAATTTGCTATTTGGAGTATTGGGGGTGATAATCCCAGTCTAAGGACTAGAACCTAAGCTTGGATTGATTTTTCCTTAATATTAGGGTATGTAGATGAGAAAAACATTGATGGCTTGCTAAAAATTAGCCCGTTGCTAGTGAGAATAAGGGCTTTAGATAATCCTCAGCCTACTTAGTACCAACAAGAGGAAATCTGTTTCTAAATCTGTGAAACTATGATGATAACTTTCTTAAAGGGTTATTGCATCATGTGGACAAATACATGATAGATGTTGGTAGAAAGGATAGTTAGTGGGAAAAATCTTAGACTTTGAGGTCAGACTGCATGCATTCAGATCCTTACTTTGCCACTTAATTAGCAGCTATTATTGGGCAAGTTACTTGTCCTCCCTGAGCCTGTTTCATCACTGATAAAATGAGCATGACTACTCTGCTTCTTAGGGTTGCTGTGAGGATTAAATGAGATAACACATGTAAAATACTTAGCTTATTTAGTGGCATATCACAAGGTGCTGCTGCAGTTTGCTATTTATTTCTTTAATTATCATGATGGATGCTTTCTACCCAGCTATGTTTTTGTCTACAACTATTTTATTTCATTTTGTTAAAACAGATACGTGTGATAAATTATTTGATTGGCCTGTTTTAACCCAATCTTGTACCTTTTTTTATGCTGTGTATATTAGACTTTTACATATGGTACTGAATTAAATATGTTTTGTGGTCTGCGAAAAGTACCAGAATTTCAAAAGACTGAGCTTGTCTTTGTTTTCATTCTAATTAAGGTGTATTGTTCGGGCACTGAAAGATCCAAATGCATTCCTTTTTGACCATCTTCTTACTTTAAAACCAGTCAAGTTTTTGGAAGGCGAGCTTATTCATGACGTGAGTAGTTTTATCTCTTTAATGTGAAAAATATTCTCTTTTCTTAAGTCTTGCATACTGAACAAGCACTCTTTCTTTTATTATTGAACATAACTATTGATGAGATCTGGAAAGTGAGGACTTGTTTCTCTTTTCATATCAGGAACAAGCTTTGAAATTTAGGACCAGCTTTTCTCAGTATTTAGTGTCAGCTAGCTCCCAATTAGGAAGATTAATCTGATATTTAAAAATACATGAACATACTTTCCAAGTGCATGTATAAATACATTTTGGATTATTTTCCATGTGGACTGTGCCATCACTAGCATCTATCAGTGCAGATAATTGAGAGCTCACTGTATTTACCAGTTCTTTCAGTGGGTTTGTGTGATACTTTGATAAAGCGGATTGATATTTCTGCAATCAAAGATACAGTTTTATTGCTGGCAGTCAGTGTCTTAAAAATATCTTCAGCGTGAGTGTTGATTCTATATTGATAGTTTCTTTTTTTTGTGTTTCTGTAGCTTTTAACCATTTTTGTGAGTGCTAAATTGGCATCATATGTCAAGTTTTATCAGAATAATAAAGACTTCATTGATTCACTTGGTAAGTATGAAGGGTAGAGAGAGATGGGAACGTGCTACTTTGTAACTCTTGTGTACTGTGAGACCCAGCAGACATGGGCATGACCCTATTTGTAGATTACCCCTAGCCAGTGGTATATGCTAGAACAGCAACAAACGCAGGTGGACAATTTAAAAGATAGCGCCATTAGAAACAGTTGGGAATTGGAAACCAGGACGATGTAAGGGGTGGCACTTGTGATAGGAAGAACATAAGACTAGGAGTCAGAAAACCTGGGCCTTTTTTTCTCCATAACAGCTTGTTGTGTTTTATGGGCCTTTTTTTGCCCCACTCTCCAGTGATTCTCAGAGGTAAAGTTATAGCCAGAAGCAGATGCTTAGAGAAGAATCAGATAGAAAGGTAATCCACTTGATGATATATGTGTCTTTAGAATTTTGGAATAGAGAAGGAAACATAAAAGCAATTTACTTAAAGGATTATAGATCACCAAAAAAATACCAAACCTGTTCCCATCGAGTCGATTCCGACTCATTGCGACCCTGTAGGACAGAGTAGAAGTAACTGCCCCATAAGGTTTCCAAGGAGTGGCTGGTGGATTTGAACTGCCGACCTTTTGGTTAACAGCCGAACTCTTAACCACTATGCCACCAGGGCTCCATTACTTTGATAGTAATTGTGATTTTTGGAAATACTCATTTTAGGAACTGATGAAATTTGATGATTAAGGGCACTCTATTAAGCTAAACACTATTGTTTAAAATAAGAATGTTTCGTTTTAGAATGCCTTATTTCTTAGACAATGGTGATCTTAGATGTATACCTATTTTTAAGTTGTATTTTTCTGTTTGATGCTCTTGTTTTTAAAACTGTAGTTACATGATTATAACAAATAGTTTTTCCTCCTCTAATACAGTGTTTTAGACTCAATGCCCCCTTTGAAATTAACAAATTACAGGAAGTATGCAGCATTCTAAGAATGCTTTATGAAGCTATAGGTTGAATTAGAAATTGAGGTGGTATGATTTTACATGATAGGAGAAACTTTCCTGAACAGTTTGTTGAAGACAGCATAGTAAAGTCTTAGCTTATGATTTGTATCTTTGAATTTTCTTGTTCAGTGCATCCAAGCTCCTCCATGCTCAGAAAATGTTTACCAGATCGAATAAAATCTTTATGATCCTCATTGAGCAAATTTCACATATGTTCTGGATTTAATTTCCTTCTGGAGCATGTTTGTACATAGTAAAATTACAAAGAAAAAACGTTGAAAATCAGCATTTGAACGGTTTTAATTGTTCTAAAACTGCTAATTTTTTGACAGTGAAAGTCACCTGAAACTAAGGTGCTTTGTTTTACTACTAAGCAATAATTAAAATAACATTAGAGGTTGGTTACATTTTCCGTATTAGTCTTCCTGGTTGCTTGAGATGTTGGTGAAAAACAGTTATAATCTTCTCTGATTATATTGTTGGTCCTTGATTTGGTGATCATTAATTTCTGGCACCTCTAAATTTTGTGCAGCCATTGGAATTGAGGAAGATTGAATTATTCTGAACATAATAAGGCGTTTGAAATACACTAATATAAAGTAGATGCAAGTGTGTTTGTGTAGAATGCTTTACCAGGTGCATTAGACCCAGAAAACCACATTCTGTCCCAGTTAATTTGTTTTGTGGCATGAAGCTATGTGATGGAATGTTAATGTCAGCAACCTCTTTATTTACACACCAAGGAAAAAGGAGTAGTAATTAACACTTTGACACTCCCCCATTGATGTGTAATTGACTGTTTCAAAGGAGCACTGGTTCATAAGCTATTGCATGCATTAAAATTGCGTTTTCTATATTGCAGCATTTTAAGACGGGTCAGTGACAATGCAGAAATTGCTCAATGGTGCACATTTTTTTTATTACTGCATTAAGGTTTTGACATATTAGTTATGAACAAATGTTTCCATAAAATTAGATTTTTTATAACTTTAAAATTGAAATATGACACTGAACACTGTGACTTCATTTTTGAAGGCAGCGTTCTAGTTTTGTGAAACAAAGCACAGCGTTCTACAAGTCTAACTCATTCTTCACTGGCTTAATAGTTTGAATTTTAAGTTTGGTTCTTATATGCGTGTTTCCATATGTAAGATAGATAATGGTTTACGTAATTGAGTAGAGAAATAATCTTTATTCCTCTGGTAAGTTGATTTATGGTAAGGTAACTGCGCAAAGAGTAGCAGTAAAATAGATGTTTTTTAAGAGTATTTTAAATTGTATCTTAAAAATTCCAGGAGTTCTAGTATCTTATCATAGAATGGTTTATCATTCTATCATGCCTACTGAATTGGGAACGCTAAGGAATTTTCTTGTGTTTGCAGATATTGAGAAACTCTTTAGTACTTGTTCTCTGCGATAGGAAATAAAATAATAACATTTCTAATTTATCGTGCCAGTTAGAAATCAAATTCCCTAATTTGCCTTTTGTTTCCCGAACATCTATGCAAATTAGCAATCTTTTATTAGAAACTTCTTTATGCAAGATGCTTTTGGGAGACTATTACCAGTAAATGTGTACATTTTTTGTTTTAGATGTATTGTTAAGCATTTATTATCGCTGAAGTTCTATGGTTACAAATGTCTAGATTCCACAGGTGGCATCAGTTGTTACACTTTGTTGTTTTATTAACATTGACAACTTGGTCCAACAATAGCATTATCTTGTGTCAACTGAATTGCCCTAACATGTCCACATTTAATCTGGTATTATCCAGTTACTACCTTCTTGCTTCAGAAAGTCAATCAGCATCTAATTGGCATTTGTTAATTAGGGTTAATGTGCACTAATTGATTTCTTGATGCTTGTAGATTTCCATGAAACTCAGTTAGCAATACTTACTTGTGTACCTCATTCATTTGAGTTATGATGATCATGTTTTTGTTGAATCTGTGCCAAATAGGAAGCCTACATCATAATTACAGCTAATTAACAGACGATTATGCCCTATATTAATGGGCTTCCCAGTCTTCCATATGAATGTTATAAATTCAAACTTATTTATGGAGTGCTTAGAACTTTTTTTAACAGTACAAACTTGAGGCTTGGAATTATTAGAGGGCAGAGGATAATCATTTGCTGAATTTACAAAATTTGAAAGTTCAGAGGAAGGGAGCAAATAAATGATTCTAGATTACTTTTGGAGACTTGTTTTTGTAATTAGCATCAATATTGTTTTATAATCCTGCTTCTATTTAGGATCAAGTAGTAATTTGGGTATTCAGGATTTGTAAATATTTGTATTTCTAGCCCTTTATTTTACAAATGAACCTGTATCCTATGCCTAGCACTGCCACTTTGTGACTATAAGTAAGTTAATCTCTTTTGTCCTCAATTTTATTTTTTAACGTGAAAAGATCAGAAGTGGGTAGTTCATTAAGTTTCCTTCTAGGTCTAACAATTGTTTGTGATCTGAATAATTATAATAGGATGTTTCATTACAAATTACAAAGTAATTTCGAATTATTTATACAATTTTCTATTTTTGCCATAGAACAAGTGTCACTGTTAATAGTGATATTTAATTCTATCTAGTAGTAACCACAAAAGCCTGTGTCAAATGATAAATCTGTTTTTGCAGTTTTGATTTCTAAGTATTAAATCCAAAGTGACCTGAAAGGAAATGGAATGTTTTCATAACTGAAAGTGTTTACGAAAATATTTTAAGACTTTGAGACTACCAGTAAGATTCACACAGAGTAGGAGATGAGGAATCCTGTGTTTAAATGAGAGCTATTAGTGGAAATAAGCTTAAGTAATTCAATTAAATAGAAAATGTTCTAATGAAATGTACTTTGTACTTTTTTTCTCCTAAAATGTATAAAATACACAAAATGTAAAACACATAGTACTTTAAGGGCCTAAAAATATGATTTGATAACCCATTCTTGACTCTGAATCTATCATCTATGGCATAGTAGTAGTACGGAAATGCATTTCTAGAAAAAGTAATTTTGATTACTTTATAACTTAATTATGGGGTCAGTTTATGGTTTGCAAATATAAGAAACTTTGTCAAAATTATTTGGTATAAGTACTCAAACACAAGTTGTAACTGTGCAGGTCTGTCATTAGTATGAATACTTATCAGACTAACTACTGTGTTATTCAGGCCTATTACATGAACAGAACATGGCAAAAATGAGACTACTTACTTTTATGGGAATGGCAGTGGAAAATAAAGAAATTTCTTTTGACACAATGCAGCAAGAACTCCAGATTGGAGCTGATGATGTTGAAGCATTTGTTATTGATGGTAAGGCAATTAGAACAGTTTCATTTTTTTTACTACTACACAGAACAAGATTTTTGATCTTGAAACAGCCTTATAGTTGCTTTTGTAGCAAGTGTGTATGTTTAGTAGATTAAGGGATATATTTGTAGTAGAGTGAAAGTTCATTGGAACTATAAATTGCTATATGGTTTTTGGTGTTTGTGCTAACCCTTGAAATCACACAGAACAAAAGCCTTTAGGCTAAGAGCACAGATTTCAGTGTCAGGTGGACTTGGATTTGAAGCCAGATCTTCCTCTATGAAATAGGAATGTGTGAGTTCATTTGTAGTTATGAGGATTACATGGATTAATGCAGGTAAAGCACTGAGCCCAGTGCCTGGCACATAGTAAATGATCTGCAAATGTTAACCATTAATAATTTTATATGATTGGCCTGTAAAGAGGACCCTCTTCCCCAACAATTGCATTATAAAGTGATTTTAACTGTTTTATTAAGCCATTAAATTTCAGGAATTATTTTTAGTTTGAAAGTTAGGGGGATTAATTAAGATTCATAAAATACATAGAACTGTTGACATGGTTTCTTTCTAATGATCTAAATCTCCAACAGTCCTATAAAGATGTGATTCCTTATTGGGAAGTTAGCCGCCACCCCCTCCCACCCCAGTGTGATTATAGGGAAAACACCTAGAATTCGTAGTAAAAACTGTATGTAGTACTAATTTAATATAGATAGGCCTAGCAACCATAGGACAAATGAATGGCCTTCCTCTTGGCTGCATCATATTGCTTTGCTTATTATTACATTCAAACAGCCAGTTTGTAAAATAATGTTGGAAAATAGTGTAAAGTTTTGTTATGGCTTAGTTGGTCACAGTTTCATACCTTAGCCCTTTTTCTTGGCAATTTTCTATATAAAATAACATGTAAAACATCTTTTTTCAGCGGTAAGAACTAAAATGGTCTACTGCAAAATTGATCAGACCCAGAGAAAAGTAGTTGTCAGGTAAGACGTTTAATACTTCGCAGCATTTTGTAGGACAATTTAGTTTTGTTTAGTATTCTAACTAGGACAAAGGTGGTGTTCTTTTCAGTTGACTGTAGTTAAATAGTTGCTATTTATCATAATTTTATTAAAGTTCAGACTGAATGTGATTAGCTTATTTAATGAAAGAGTCCTATTTTCCAGGACATTTCATTTAATGGCTCAGCATTGGCTAGAATACTAATGACTTCTGTTTGTCTTTATATAGTTGTTCAGCGAGAATAGAAGGTTTAGGATCAATATGGTAAAGACCTTTTAAAAATAAATATCTAATTGTTAAATTCTCTTATAATTTTAAATTATGTCTTTTATGTATAGTTAACCTTGCTTTTAACTAAGTAGAAGTGTATAGTATTTGTAAACAAATGCCATAGGATAAAAGGTTGGCTAATACGTTGTTTTTTAATGTTTTCAATTTTTAGTCATAGCACACATCGGACATTTGGAAAACAGCAGTGGCAGCAACTGTATGACACACTTAATGCCTGGAAACAAAACTTGAACAAAGTGAAAAACAGCCTTCTGAGTCTTTCTGATACCTGAATTTTTATGCATTTAATTTTATTCTTTTAAAAACAAATCTAAATCATAGTAAAACATTATAAACTGAAATTTAACTATAGTCTGTACATTTATTTTCTCAAATTTAAAGTAAAAGAAATCACAAACTCTAGAGGATGCAAAGTAATAGATTAGAAAAGGTCAATATTTCCGTCTTGTATAATTCACCATAAGTTGTGTCCTGTAAGGATTTTGAAGGAACACACAAGCTGTGAAGAGAGGCTATATGGATGGCAAACAAAAAGTTTAAGAATTTCTAAGTCATTAAGGGGAGTTGGATGCTAAGAGCAAACTGCAAGTAAGAATTGCTATCTTAAACGAAGCATTTGCAGAGTAGATAGCAAGTAATAATATAATTTAATCATACCATAAGAGGTTGGGAAAGGACAATTTTAAGACTTCAGATGTAATGGTCATTTCATTCTAGTCGAATCTCCATCAGTATTTCAATTAAATCAGTACATCAGTGAAAGCATTTATCAACGTTACTTCAATCTGTTTTTTCTAGCATTTCTTCTGCTTTTCTTTTTCTAGGTTGGTTGTCCCTTTCTAAGCTTAGGAACGTTTCGATTTCATTTATTTGATTTGTTACAAGGCTTTGCCAGTCATCTTCACCAGTGAAAGAGGCAGCCAAATCAGTAGTATCTTTAATCTTGATTCCCTGCAAAGGGCTTCGTAGCAGAGTTGATTTCAGAGGCTTTGTTTTCACCTAGGAAAGACCAAACTTGTTTTACCATTTAGGTTATTACTTATATTTTCTAAACAGTTATGGACAAAAGACCTTAAAAGAAAATCTGTTAAGCCTCTGCAATTATGAGTATGTGATAAATTCTCCATCTTGGCTGATTTCCAACAACTACCTTAGTAATTTTGGCACCAGAAAACGATAAAATACAAATTTGTAGGCTTATGTATAACATGCTTCAAAACCCGTAATATGTTCCAGGGATACACAAATGTTTTCCAAAAGGTTTTCAGCTTACATTAAAAGGAAAGAAAAGATACTTAAAACAATGCAGATAAAAATCTGTTTTGTCTTCTACTCCCTTCCCGTCCCAAAGATGTCTTATGGTTTGTATCTTCTATCAAAGCCAGGGAAAATTTTTAAATTATAACGGAAATAAGCTGCCGTATAAAAATTGCCTTTTACTTCATGTTTCCTCTCATGCTTCAGAGCACCATTGTTGAAGAAACAGGAAAGAGCAATGAGGTATTTGGAAGTTGGCATGTTTCCAAGACACTGCATGGAGTCATGTTTATAATACTGTTAAAAGAAGTTTTTAAAGTTTTTTGATAATATACTTACTGGAAATTTAGAAAATAGAAATATAAAGAACAAACAAAATCATTAATAATCCACTACCCAGACATACCTGTCAATATTTTGGTATTGTTTGCTGCTAGTCTTTTCTATTTTTAGCATATTTGATAATCTGATAGAATTTTATATCTTGCTTTTTCCTCCATGAACAGTTTCCTATGTCATTAAATTTTTCATTAACAATTGCCAGTGGCTGCAAAATCCTCCCTTGTATTGAATGTGTGATAACTATTCCCTACTGAACATTTAAGTTGTTTTCTAATTTATCCCTGTCAAAAATAAATTTGAATTAATTTCTTAAAAAATTCTTTGAATGTCTTCAGAGAGATTCCCAGATAAAATAGTCCAGTCAAAGGGAATATTACATTTTTTAAAATAACAATCACTGGGTTTTTAATTTTCTAGCTTTAAGGAAATACATGTATATTTTAGAAATATGGAACAGGATAAGAATTATTAAAATCACCTAAGATCCCAACCATCATTTTGATATGTCTGTGTTCTCTTCCATGTGTATATACTTTTAACATTTTTGTATCATATTCATTTACATCATTTTATATGTTATTTAAAAAACTTTAGCATTTCCCCGTATTAAGTCTGTTAAAAGCCTGGCTTCGTAATAGTCTACGTTCCATAATTTGATCTTGTTGGACATCTAAGTTGGAGGAACATGTTCACTGTTAGAAGTTAGGCTGCAGTGAGTATTCATAAATCTTTGTGAAGATCTCTGAGTATGGCCTAACATTAAAACCTCAATATGACTGGTAAAAGGTGGTATATTTGTAACACGGTCATTTTAATGTGAGGCTATATAATAAATTTATTTTTTCAATGACCCAGGTGGAATCGACTCAGTGGCAACTGGTTTGGTTTTGGTTAGATGTTTAGAATTTAATCTTAAGGAAGACTGCTCCTTTTAGATTGACATCAGTACCCTCAGAGTCTTAATCTCTGGTTCTTTGGGATGATGTGCTTGCATTTGTCTGTTGCCTTTGTTCTTATGAAATGAAGAAGCCAAAGGTGTCAGCACAGGACCACCAAGAGACCTTAAAAGTCATTTACCTTTTGTGGGCCTCAGTTTTCTCATCAGTTCCTTTTATCTCAAAAGTGCTATTGTAGAGAGCTGCTGTTTGGTAATCCATAAAAATATGCATAAACATTTCTGATAATGTCTAGCACGTAAGTATGTTCAATGTACTTCATTTAGTTAAGGCCAATAATGGAGTCTAAGTGATCCATGCAAGACTGAGAATAAATAATGGAGAAATATATTAAATCTAAATCTAGGTAGCAAATTAAGTGGATGTTCTTTGAAGTGAAGTGGTTAATGATTTGTATGATTTAATGGTTGTGTTTTGTCATAAGGCTTGTTGCATTTTGGTGCATTTGCATCAAGTACAAATTAGCCCATTTCCCAAATCTTGATTCATTGACTTTGATGATGGAAAGGAAGACATTTCACACACATACGCTTTAGTTTCTTTCCCCTTAACTACCTACCCACTTGGTGGGAGAGGCAGGAGCAGGGATTGGCTGTAGAAAGAAACAGGATATATTGTGGCTTAACTAAGGTGTGCACTTAACAAAACTTGTTCTGTTTAGCTTACCTGAGGTTTCTGAAGTCTACAGGATTAATTTTACTTCTGTAAAATTTCGGCTTTTGTCAGAGCCATAGGCATGTCTTGCTCCTTCCCTTATCTCCTTTTAAAAAAATTCTGATTCAAAAGACCTACTCTTTGGCCTCAACTATACTTCAGTAGAGTACTAGTCCTTTTTATTCCAGCCTGGAGCTGTATGTTAAAATTGAAGTAAACCTTCATTCACTGGATGTGTGAAACAAGTGGCTTCCTTTGCTTACTCTGGGTGCTCTCTCCCATCCTCACTGCTGGATATAATCAAGATTGCAGCGGGCTACGAACCCATCCCCCCCTCCCCCCGAAAGCAAAAAAAGTGGCTCCGAACCATTGGGAGAAAATGGATTGGCACATACACCTGCCCTTAGTTTAACCATATTGGTGTGGGCTGTGTGTAAAATGTTGAAAAGTATAATGAATTTCTATTCCTTTTCTGTGTACAGTCTTCATATAATTAATTTGTTTTCATTTAGAACAAGGATCTGCACACTTTTATGTAAAGAGCCAGATAGTAAATATTTTAGGCTTTGTGAGTCAAAAGGCCTCTGTCACAATGCTTAATTTCTGCCACTGTAGCGAAAAAGCAGCCATAGATAGCTGCGCTTGAGTCCACTCTGACTCATGACCGTATGTACAACAGAATGAAACATCGCCTTGTCCTATGGCATTCTGTTTCTGGCATGTTCGAGTTCATCATTGCAGCTCTTGTGCCAGTCCATCTCACTGAGTATCTCCAGTGGGCCCTTTACTTCACCAAACATCCTTCTCCAGATCGCTTCACGACGTGTCCAAAGCAAGCAGGGGAGTCTGACAGTGTTCTGTTGTGATCTGGAAGGTTTTCACTGGCTAATTTTTGGAAGTAGATTGTCAAGCCTTTCTTAGTCTGGAAACTGCTGAAACCTGTCCACCATGAGTGACCCTGCTGGTATTTGAAATACCATTGGCATAGCTTCCAGCAATATAGCAACATGTATGCCACCACAGTACCACAAACTGATAGATGGGTAGTGGAAAAGCAGACAGTATGAAAGGAATGCGTGTGGCTGTCCTCTAATAAAACTTTTCTTATTGGCCTACCAGCTGTAGTTGGAAGACCCGATTTAGAAGAATGTAAGATTTTAGGGGAGCAGTTAAAAAGGGTTCATAAAGAGAAGACTGAGTTGGTCCATTTCATCTAGGGATAACGCTTTCAGTAGTTGAGGCAAAAGAAGAGATTTGCTTTTGAGTTTGTCCCACATTATATGTTAATTGGTAATCAAGCTTCAGCTTGATTATTAGCACCTAGCATAGTGCCTGGCACATAGTAATAAGTGCTCGTTATGTGCCGTTGATCCAATTCCGACTCATAGCGACCCTATATGACAGAGTAGAACTGCCCCTATTGAGTTTCCTAGGCTGTAATCTTCATGGGAGCAGATGGCCAAGTCTTCTCCCACGGAGCTGCTGGTGGGTTCAAACCTCTGACCTTTCAGTTAGCAGCTGAGCGCTTAACCGTTGCATCACCAGGGCTCCTAGTAAATGTCTAGGCAGTGAACTGAGTTTCTTTTATATGCATCAGTATTTTGAGAAAACTTTTTTTTTTTAATTCTATTACAAAAGCTGAATAAAAGGCAAGAAATCTAGTCTAGCTAGGTCCACTGCAGATTGTGTCTTTATGACCTTGGGAAAGTTATTTCACATTTGTATCACTGTTTCCTCGTGTAAAATAGGAAAAATAACAACCTTACAAGAACTGTTGTGGGAATAAAATTTGTAAAATCTCTTTGAAAAGTTATAAGTTCTGTAAATGTAAATTCTTAAAAACAAGATTAACTGCAGGAAGAGCATTAAGAATTAGACACAAAGATCTTCCCTATAGTGACTAAAAATGAACTTTCAAGGGGGATGTGAAATCTCCATCATACCCTTAAATTGTTTGAAAATAGGGCCAACTATCTAATAAGTGGTAAGTATTCAACCTGTTAGACACAATTTTAGCCTTGATGCTCTCAAGTTTATTTTTTGCTTGGATTCTATGCCTTGCCCAACTGGCTAAAGTCAGAACTGAGATTTCCCAAAGCCAGATTTACTGTTCTTTGTTGTTATTAGTAAAGATACACACTTGCACACAACAAGTTGTTGCTGAGCTCAGTTGTTAAAAAGGTAGATCCTGATTTTAGTTTCAACCCTCACTCTCACAGGAAGACTATATACTGTCTCACTTGAGGGTTCCATTTAAAAAAGAAAATACAATCTGTTGTTAAAGCTGTTATTTGTTAAAGATGCGCCAGTACTATAATTTTGAACTCTGTGTTAAAGACAAAGTCGTTTAATGTACATCTCTAAAATTTTAATATACAGTGATCTTAAAATCTGTCCCGATGCACTTTTAAGTAGGTAATCTTTCCTAACCTTTTTAGATCACCTGTTAGCATTGAACCTATAATTGTCATTTTTTAGACTTTGACAGTACCACCGTTTTCTCTCTGAAGTTCTGCACACTAAACTATAAAACTTATAAATTTAACCAAATAGATTGTCAGCTGTAGTTGGTTGCTTTTTGTATGATAAATGGACTCCTGGGAGCCATATAATCTCTACAGATACTTCGCTTAATACACAAATCCAAACTTACTATCATGTCACAATATGAATATTTGGTCCTTTCACATACTGTATGCTATGTTGTAATTAAAATAATTTAAAATAGATAAATTTATTCCATTACAGCAGTTTCTAAAAATAGTATAAATTAAGCACTACTAAAAACAATGGAACTTAGTTGATTAGATTATTTTAACGCATCATCTTTTACAAAATAAAAATTTAAATACTCAAATGCCACTATGCCTAAATTTAGGTGATCAAAAAAGAGAAGTACACAATACGCTACCTCACACTCTCCTCCCCAAAACAGGCTGGATTATATCTCTTTGATTTATACACTGTGACTTTTTCCTGCTGTTTTCCATCAACCTTAATTGTGAAAAATGGTGCCATGTTGCCCTCTTGATATTATTTTGGGGATCAGTTAGGTCTTAAAGCATCCAGATGCATACAGTTCTGCACATATCTGTAGAATTAGTTCACTAAGGTCTTCTCGGCAATATTTTTAATTGACTTACGTGTTCTGTGGGAAAAGAAGAATCATAAAAGGTCTTTGCAATTGCATTCCTCTCTTCACTGGGCTCTCCCTTGGGATCTGGATGGATACTCGAGTTATTCAAAGTGTCAGCAACTCTGTTAATGCTGGTAGTATCTGATTGACAAAGAGGAAATGGCAACAACTGAATTGTATTCTCTAGGCACTCAGTGAGTGAACTTGTTTCTCTCTGATCCTAAGCTTTTGTATTTAAAAAGTAATAATTTCTATTTTCATTTTACTCTGAATATTTTATAGAGTTCCTAGTCTTTGTTTTTATATTAGGCTTTCCATTTCATAAAACAAAGTTTTATTGCTACTTTCTAAAACCTACTCACTATAATTTCACATTAAAAGGAGTGAAATGGTATAAATGTAATTATTTTCTAAAACTATCACATAAAATGTTATCCCTTAATTCCCCTGGTTACTGCATTATCCACACATGTAAACATATAGTGAACATCTCACCAATTCAGATTAATGGCAAAAGTCTGAACCAACTAAATGTTGGATTTATAAAATACAAAGAAATTGGCTATAAGTAAAGCCCCACAAAGGGCTGTCTAGAAGGGGTCACTGGGCTTTAATAAATAGGTAAACTGGTTTAAAGAAACATGTCAACTATAAAGGTTGAAAGACACTTGTATGTTTAAGAGTATTTGACAAGTTGAATTTCTACAGAATTTTAGACCTCTTCCATCTTATTTATATGATTGAGACTTAGAAGAAAGGACCTGTGAGAAAATGGTAAACATTAGACCAGCCCCTGAAGCAGCCCTTGACAAACTCTAATTAATGGAATCTGAAGTAATACACTTTATTAGGAAAATTGTAGTTTGGGAAATGAGATTTTACAGTGTTTAGGTATTTTCTATTTTTCCCTACATTTACCTCTCCACTGATGTTAGTAAACAAGATAAAGAGCTTTTTTGTAGTCCCTAAACATTTTTAAATATTTTTCTCAATTTCCTTTTTAAAAGAGGCCTGTATTAAGTCTGATGATCATGCAAAGCTTTCCTTGTCATCTGCATTCCTTTAATGGGTCTAATACATATTGCTAAAATGGCAGAACTCCCCTAAAATCTAGGGATGTCTTTGACAGCCTCAACAACTTTGACTATGAGATTGCTATTAGCAAAGGAAACAGGTATTTTCCTCACGCTATATGATTATACATCTTAAACTCTTACTCATTGTTATGTTTTTTATACATTTATACAACACCTATTCATGATATGTAGTATGTTTTTATTTTAAAATATGAAAAATTTCAAACATACACAAAAATAGAAGTATGAACCTCAATGTACCTATCACCCAGCATCACTACTCATTAATATCATTTACTTACTACTGCCCCTATTTTTTTTCTAGAGTATTTGAAAGTAAAACTTGGACATGATGTCATTTCATGTGGTTTTTAAGACTAGAACGGCCCCTCTCTTTTCTCAAATATTTAACATTTGAACATATTAATACAGGCACACATTAAGGTACTAAATTTAAAAGTATTTCAAACAGTGGCAAATATTAGTGATATGAAATGTACTAATGTTATACTTCAGTATTACTTATAAAACAATGTGTTGGTGGTACTGGTGAATGGACAGATAATAGAAAAATTAAGGAAAGAGGGAGGGGACTGGGAGAAACTAAAATGCGGTTCTGAGTAAAGGAGTGTTTTTTTTTTTTTAAGGGGTGCTAAGAGCACAGAAAGAAAAGGAATAAACATGCACACTGGCAGAAGCCTTACCAACTACTTCACAGCATTTGCTCTAGAAAGTAAAGAAAGAGATTAAGTGAATTAAGGACCTGGATCTCTTGTTTTCATATTTTCAGTCCCTTGATGATGAGAAAAAAATTCTTTTCATTTCCAAATGCAATTGTACTACAATACAAGTTGATAATACAGGCCCAGGTTTACGTGGGGGGAAAAATCCATTTCTACTTAAATAAAACCTTTCCTACTTTTACAAATATAGATATATATATGATATTTTAGGTTTGGGCAAAAAAAACACTTAATATGAAAGTTTTTATTTTAAACAAAATCTGTCTGAAGATCTTTTACCAAAAATAATAAGTAGAAAAACAAATTTTAAAAATTAAAACATAGCCTTGTTTCAAACCTTGTTTTCTTACCTGGTCCAACATCCTTCCTGACTTCATCCACACCAATATTTTTACCAAGTGTCATTGAAACAATCTTTCTGTTGTCAGATGGACGTATTGGTCTTTCCTTCAGCAAGGAAAGAATGCTAGAAGCTGAAGTGCTCACTGTTTGACTTTCAGTTTGATTTACTTTTGACCAAGTACCAGGGTCTAAAAAATTCAAGTATACTGGAGTTTTCTCAGTTTTTTTATCTGAAGTTGAAAGATCAAAGGCTGACCTTCCACTTGTGTTTACTAAATCTCCAGATGGCTTTATGTGAAATGAACATGACTCTTCCAGCTGTCCTTCAATGTAAATTTTTTCTGAAACGATGTCATTTAATGACTCTGTTTTCTCTGTATTACTTAATGAATGCTGTCTTTCATTAACATTCACAAAAAGGAAGAGGTCATTTTTTGTGGCTTCAGTTATCTGATTCTCATCAATCTGACCATCTTTACTGGAAAACTGTATTTCTGTGGAGGTTTTCCTTTGAACAGCAGTTTTCATATCTTCGGCTTGTGAAGCATGTGTATTTTCATTGTCAATATGAAGATGGGGAATAGTCATGTTATTATTTTCTAGACATTCCAAACAGTCCTTAAATTGACTGCGTTGCATCTCATTTAGATTTTCCCATACAGTTCTTTTCCCAGGGCTTGAGCTGGGTTTCACCAACATAGGTACAATATTAACATTTTTATCTGAATTTTCAAGAAGTCTCAAATTATCGCTGAAAGGAGCAGATGAAATGGGGTAATTGCTTGCTGTATCACAGGGAATATTTAGTTCAACTTTTTCTAAAGTATCATTACAGACTTGCTGAAAATCTGAAGTTTGTTTAAGTGGCAATATGCTGCACTCACTTTTTTTATTTAACAGTTGTATTTGTTTTGTTTTACATTGTTTATTATCTAACATAATGCTACTTGAATCCTGTAAACTACATTTCTCCCACTGAACAGGATTCTCTTTTACATCTAGAGGTGAATCCAGCTCTGCCTTGGTTTGGTCAGTATTTTTCATTTCCCTCTCAGCAGAGCTTTCTTGAGTGCAGGAAAGCATTCTGAATTGCTGTTTGAATGGTTCGTTTTCAGAAACATCTTTATTATGATTTGTATTGGGAACCGTCTCATTTAAAATACTGTCACATGATGTTCTGTTGTTTTCAGCCTCCATATGTACATCAGGATGGTGACAATCTAATGCATCCATACTTTCTAGGTGTATCATTTTTGTTTCTATTGATGTATTGGCCACTAAAAAAAGACTAGTTGGTGATTTAAACTCTGTACATCCATTGTCTTTTTCCAAGCACACCTTGTCTTTTATTTCTGTGGGAACTGATTTTCTAAGGTCAGTAACATTCAAGGTTTGTCCTTGGCTAATTAATTCTTTATCTATGCAGAGTATTTTGCTTAGGGAGATTTCACTTCGATTTTCATCCTGTGGTACAGTAGTATCCATTTCATTCTTGCAGCATTTTTCAAGAAGCTGTAAATCTGTCATGATGAGAACACAATAAAATTGTATATTATACAGTAAAGCCTGCCTTTATAAAACATATGTATCCCTATTTTAAAAAGCATATATAAAAAACATACGTTGTTATTATAAGCCATTGCATCAATTCTGACTTACTTAGCCTTCAGTGTTTCATTAGCCAGTAATTACACAAATGGAATGACACCAATTTTACCTAAATATTGAGTTCACTTTATTATAACAAGCATACATTTAGCATGCTACATATTTGGCTCTACCCATATTAACTTTTTACTTCATAACAGCAAAAGTATTTTTGTTTTTTTTAAAAAAAGGAATAACGAGGGATTACAAAATGTTTTTTATTTCTAGTCTATCGCTTCCTTTTGGGCATACAGCACAATTACATATAAACATATAGCTAATTATATAAAAAATAATTTACTCTAACAGTTTATACTCTAATTTCTATTGTTATCCAGTTCCCTCTACATAGTAATATATATACTTAGAAATTGCCCACTGGCTTCTTCAAGACTGATAGTCATCACTTTATTATTCACCCTGTGAATATTTTAAAATTCTGCAATTGTTTTGGACAAGCATATAGAATATCTACTTAAACAAGACATTTATTTTATTCATATATATTGCAACCATAGATTTAAAATTTCCTGTATAGTTAACCTGAATACAAATTTCAGGACTTGAAGGGCTTTTTTGGCCCAATCATTCTCTCTACAACATCTCCACCAAGTGGTTGTTTAGCTAGGACTGAACACCTTTGAAAAATCAGTGCCATCTTTAAACAACTCTCTTTCAAGATAGAAGAATTAGTAAATTATTTCAAAGATTACAGAAGGGTCATTTGAACTAAGAAAAGTGCTCTACATCTGGTTAACATTGGTGACCCAGACAACATTCTCAGCAAACTGGTGAAGGCAGAAACCAGAATGCAAAAAGCCAACCAGGGGAGGCAGAAATGTATATTTTCCCTAAAAATATTGACTGTAAAGAAAAGCTTGAAGGAAGTTTGTTTCATTAAGGCATATACAAATGAAAAGGTGAGTGTTTCTCCCAACTATACTACAGGGTCATCAAAGCAAAGATTGTAATTTATATTCCCCTGAATTTCTTAGAAAGCCCTGCAGAGTGCTTTGTATAAAGCAGGTGCTCAAAAAAACTGTGTTAATTGATGGCTGATCTTTGTGGGAAAAAAAAAATCTCAGTATACAAATTAGAAAATATCAATACAATCTTAGGTTACCTTCTATAATGATTTCTCCTTTAGGCAGGCCTTCTTTCTTTTCTTCCCTTTCTGTGTATTCAGTATCTGAACAAAAACTCACACTATTTTCTTCCCTTATTTCTTGCCCAGAATTATATTTCTGTATGATGGTGTTTTCTGATTTTTCAGCTGACATTCCACTGTTTTCATTATTTATTTCTGGAACATTCTAATGCAAAATGGAAAAGACTCCTTTTATGTAAAGCAGATTGTTAAAAAGCATAAAACATTTGAGGAAACTTTCCTGACAAAAGTGGAATCTGTGTTTCAACTCAACCATTCAGGAATTTCTGTTCGAAGGCCAAATGATTTTAAAAACAAGTTTAATATATACTATTCCTTGTAACAAGATCATTTTAAGTTTATTTTGTATAGTCTATCATATTTAAGCAGAATGGGGACCATTAGATTTTTCAAACATGCATATCACATTGTATTTACAAATACATGCGTTATATATAATAAAAGAACCAGCCCTATATTAAAAACAAGGTAGTTATGGCAGGCAAATGTTTTTGAGTGTTTGGTTTTTTTTATGTATCTTTAAAACAGTGAATCAATGTTCTCCAAATATATTTAGCACATATTACATGTGAAGCACCACACCAGGCTTTGAGACACAATGATTAAATAAATATAGTCCCTCTCCTCAAAAAACTTACAGTCCAGTAGGGAAGACAGGAAAAGAAATAAAAGGCAACCTTAATAAAACCTGGTACGTGCTCCTGTAGAGATAAATACAAGGCATATAGGAACATACAAGAGCAGTCCTGTTCCTGTTTTGGGGAATCAAAGAAGGCTTTTCAGAGGTGATAGATAAATATACCTGAAATATGCTACGGAGTTATAGACAGACAGGGGCAAGGAGGCAATCCAGGGAGAACAAATGGCATATACAGATGTCTGAAAGCAAGCAAGATTATATTATAGCTTGTTCAAGGAACTACAAGTGATTTAGTTCAGCGATCTTAGATGTTAGAAGAAAGGAGAGAAATGAGGCTTGAGGTAAGCTGGGTCTAGGTCATTAAGGGCCTAATATAGCATGCTAAGGAGTTTCAACTCTACTAGGAAGACACTGAGAAGTCACTGAAGGGTTTTAAACCAGAAACGAATAACATGATCTGATTAGAAAGACCATTCTGGCTGTAGCATGAAGAATGGATTAATGTTTTCCAAACTTCTTTGATTGAAATCCCCAATCAGAAATATGTTTTAAAACCAATGAGTGCCTACACTTACTGTGATATGCTGTAATGTTTTCTATGCTTCTTTATTTTGTTTCATTTTAAAAAGAATGCTCATCACAACCAACTACAAGTGATTCAGTTCAGCGATCTTAGATGAACTAAGTTTTAGTGTAGTGGATGGGCAAAGGTGGGTTGCCCTATGTTGAAGGATGAATGAGAAGTAAAGAAGGTATGAATTTAGACCACTCTTTCAGGAAACTTGGCTCTACAGGATAGACGGGGTGTTCAGAGATGAACATGGGATCAAAAAATATTTTTTGTTGTTTATTTTTTAATGGAAGAGACGAGTATCTTTAATTGCAAATGGAATGATATAATTTGCAAAAGAAGGGGTATAACTAACAAACTTGAAAATGTGTTTAACATAATAAAAAATGCCAATTAAAACTGATAGGACCAAGTATTAAGAGAATTTAGATGTCCAGGTACTTTTATATATGGTTGGTAGGAGGATAAATTGGTACAACTTTCTGGAAGACAAATCTTTTTGGAAGGCAATATGTGTCAAAATGTCAAGTCTGTAAGCTCTTTGACTCAGCAATATGATTTCTGGAAATTTATCTTAAAAAAATAATCACCAAGTACACAAAGATATTTGTACAAGGGTGTTCAACAATAGGGAGTAAATTAATTATGGCACATCTCATTCACACAATGGGAACTGTGATATAGATATATTTCTACTGACTTAGAAAGATAACCAGTATTTAGAAAATTTTTAAAAGGGGCTTTAAAACATCTCAGAAAATATACTGTTATTTTAGTTTTTAAAAAATCCAGGTATATGAATGTCTGTGTGTGTGTTTCTATACAAACACATGTATAGAAAAACTCTGGAAGGTTATATAACAAAATTTTAGTGATTACTATTTCTGGATGATGAGATTACAGGTGATCTTCACTTTTTTATTTTAAAGTTTATATATTATCTAAACTTCCTAAAATGAAAATATATGACTTACAATCTGATTAAAAAAGCTATCTTCAATTTGAAAAAAGAATGTGTGTTGAAAGATTTATTTATGAATATGTCTATATTCATTTCTATAAGCAATTAGATGGTGTAGGAACTACTTGCCATTTATCACTCTTAAGCTAAATTATATTTATGAATATTAAATGGTTTAATACACATCTCCTGCCTGGAATTTTCCAGTACTCTCCAAGCTGGCATCTGTGCCTTTAGTTTTGTCCTACTCCAGTCTATCCACATCATCACCTAAATGATCTTTTGAAAAAGAAAACCTGATCACTCTACTACCGTGCTTAAAATCTCCAAATGGTAGAGTCAAGAACAAACTTCTATGAATGGAATACACAGTCCTCTATAGTCCTCTGCCTATCTTTTAACCTCTTCTCCTGCCCTTGTGTTGCCAGGCATCCTATATTTCACATTTCTGATTGTTTGCCCTTGCTATTCAATCTACTTGAAGTACTATCTGTAACTGGAAAATGCTTACAATTCTGGACAATCCAGCTCAAAAATCTCCTACTTTGTAAGGTCTGCCCTGTACAGAGTAGTGAAGCTGAGGGACCTATGCCAAAAAAAGAGCTCCAGAAGTACGCAAATTCAGTCTGTTGCTGAATATTAAGCTGGACATGTGTGGAGTACAAGTCTATGAAGACTTACAAGAGAGCTGTATGACAATTTCCAGAGCTTCCATGAGTCTGGGTAAAGTCAGAGTTCCAACCAACCAGAGTAAAGAGACCTTATTGAACACCAGTAGAGATCCCTGAAGGATCATGCCTTACTAGTAGTACGAACTATCCTCAGAGTAAAGGCTATTCTAGATTTGCTCTTAAGTTTAAAAATCCGCCTCAAAAAGGATGAAGCGTATCTGCAAGTAACTAAACTACCTATCAAAACAAGCTTCAACACTCTTAAAAGGAAGACAACAAAATCCAGCAATAAGCAATGCAAATTCATGTCTTAATCTAATAAAAATTACTAGACAGGTAAAGAAGCAGGAAAATGTCATTTATAAACAGGATAAAAATTAGTCAATAGAAGCAAACACAGAAATGACCGAGATGAAGGAATTAGCAGGGCTTTAAAACAGCTATTCTAAATGTCCAAGGGTTTAAAGAACGACATGAACATAATGAAGAGAGAAATGAAAGATACCAAAAAGAAAAAAGAAAAAGAAAAACCAAATGGAAATTCTAGAGATGAAATATACGGTATCTGAAATTTTTTTTTAAAAATCACTGAATGGGCTTAATTACAGATTAGACATGTTAGAAAGAAAGATAAATGAACTTCAGGATATAACAATAAAAACAATCCAAATTAAAGGAGAGAGAGGAGAAAAAAAGAGATTGAGACAAATGAGCAGAGCTTCAGTAACCTGTGGGACAACATCAAGCAGTCTAACATATGTAACTGAGGTCCTAAAAGGAGAGGAAGGGGGAAAATATTTGAAGAAACAATGACTACAAATTCTCCAAATTTGATCAAAACTAAAGCCACAGATCCAAGAAAGTCAACAAATCCCAAGCAGGATATTTACAAAGAAAACTAAGGCATATAATAATGACATTGCTGAAAAACAGTAATAAGAGAAAATCTTAAAAGCAGCAAGAGATAAAAAGACACTTATAAAGAGGGGTGTAAGTATAATAGTCCAAGACTTCTTGCCAAAAGTAATGCAACCAAGAAAACAATGAAATAGCATCTTTAAATTAATGAAAGAAAAAAATTGTCAAAGATGTCACTTTAAGGACTAAGGTGCACCTGACCCAAGCCACAGTGTTTTCAATAGCTTCAATGCATGTGAAAGCTGGACAATGAATAAAAGAAGACTTAAGAAGATGCCTTTGAATTATGGTGTTGGTGAAGAATATCAACTGTCAGAAGAACAAACAAATCTGTCTTGGAAGAAGTACAGCCAGAATGCTCCTTAGAAGCAAGGATGGCAAGACTACATCTCATACTTTGGACATTTATTAGGAGGGACCAGTCCCTGGAGAAGGAAATAATGCTTCGTGAAGTAGATGGTCAGTGAAAAAGAGGAAGACCCTCAACAAGATGACCCTCACAGTGGCTGCAACAATGGGCTCAAACATAGCAATGATTGTGAAGATGACACAGGACCAGGCAGTGTTTCGTTCTGTTGTACAGAGTCACTATGGGTCAGAACCGACTCGACAGCACCTAACAAGAGCAACAACAGAATTTTATGTACAGTGGAAATATCCTTAAGAAATGAAGGAGAAATAAACACTTTTTCAGACAAACAAAAGCTGAGAGAATTCATTACCAGCAGACAGGTACTAAAAGAAATGTTAAAGAAAATTCTTGAGGCTGAAGAAATTTGATATTAGCTGGAAGCCTGGATGCACACAAAGGAATGAAGAGGGTCAGGTCAGAAATGGTAAATATGGGGTGGATATAAAATGTTTTATCTAATTTTTAATTTTATGTACCAGATAATAGACTGCTTAAGGTAAAATAAATAGCAATATACTGTGGAGTTTATAACATATGCAGAAGTAAAATGTATGACAATAATAGTACAAAGAACAGGAAGGAGAAAATGAGAATATACTGTTCTAAGCTTCTTACCTTATCAAAGAATTTGGTATAACATTATGTGAAAGTATACTGTGACAAATTAAACTCTAAAGCAGGAGTTGGCAAACAGTGGCCAGTGGGACAAATTCAGCCTACTCTCTGTAATGATAATTTTATTGGTGTACAACCATGCCTATTTGTTTACACATTATCTATGGCTGCTTTTGTGCTACAAATGTAGAGCTGAGTAGTTGTTACAGAGAATATATGGTCTGCAAAACTTAAAATATTTACTACCTGTCCCTTTACAGGAAAAAGGTGATGACCCCTTCTCTAAAGTAACAATTAAAAGCATAAAGAGGCATAACTAATAATCGAAATTTTTAACAAATTGGCAAATCAAATCCAGCATATATAAAATGGATAATACATCATGACCCATTGGGGTTTATCCCAGGAATGCAAAGTTATTTTAACATTTGGAAATCAACTAATGCAATACACCATATTCCAGAATACAGAAAAATATGATCATATACACAGATGCAGAAAAAGCATTTGACAAAATTTAACACCCATTCAATGATAAAAACTCAGAAAACTAGGAATAGAGGGAAGCTTCCTCAACCTGATAAAGGAGATATATGAAAACCTACAGCTAACATAAGAAAAAGTAAAAGACTAAATACTCTCCCTCTGAGATGAGCAACAAGGTAAGCATGTCCACTCTCACAGTTTTTATTCAGCATTGTATTGGAAGGTCCTAGCTAGTGTAATAAGTTGAGAAAAAGAAATAAAATGCATACGGAATAGAAAAGAAATAAAACAGCCTTAAATTCATAGACAACATGGTCATGTACATAGAAAACTCAAGGTTCAACAACAAAATACTACTATAACTAATAAGTTAAAAGTGTACAAAAGTAAATTGTACTTCTATATACTAGCAATGAACAATTTTTTAAAAATCTAAATACTGTTTATAATAGGATCCCAAAACATGAAGTATTCAGGGATAAATTAAAATATTTGCAAAACTTGTACAATGAAACTTACAAAACATTGGTGAGAGATACCAAAGAATACTTAAATAAAAAGATAAACCATATTCATGGATTGAAAGACTCAATATTTTTAAGACTCAATCTTTTATTCTTCCCAAATTAATCTATACATTAAACACAATCCCAATCAAAATCTCACAGATGTTTTTAGAAATTGAAAAACTGATTCAAAAAGTTATGTGGAAATGCAAAGGACCTAAAATGGACAAAACAATTTTGAAAAAGCAAAAAAATTGAAGGACTTATACTCACTAATTCTAAGACTTCTTATAAAGCCATACTAACAAAGACAGTGTGATATTGGCTTAAAGGTAGACACATAATCAAGGAAACATAATAAAGAGTTTAGAAATAGACCTACATATATTTGGTCAATTGATTTTCAATGAAAGTACCCAGGTACTTTCAATGGAAAAAGAACAGTATTTTCTATGTGTATCATTTTGGCTAGGCCATGATTCCCAGTAGTGTGTGATTCTCCACCATTTTTTCATCCAATGTGGTTTTTCTATGTGTTGTAAATCCTATCTCTATGATGTTGATGACATGGGATTAGCAAAAGTTATGTTAATGAGGCAGGACTCAAATCTACAACGCTGGATTGTATCTTGCACCAATCTCTCTTGAGATATAAAAGAGAAAAGTGAGGAGAGATGTGGGGACCTCATACCACCAAGAAACAAGAGCCAGGAGAATAGTGTATCCTTTGGACCCTGGATCCCTGCGCTGAGAAACTCCTTGACCAGGGAAAGATTGATGACAAGGATCTTCCTCCTGAGCCGACAGAGAGAGAAAGCCTTCCCCTGGAACTGA